GCTGGGCCTGATCCTTTGGTTGTCCTGCATGCTATTTATCTCAGGGGATTAAAAAAGAGTAAATACTTGATAAAGCATATCTAGTATTATAAAACCAAAATGTCTTACTCTTCACTGAGGAATTCAAAGGCTCTAGACTTGTCACTCGGTAATTGAGATAAGGTGCTGCTTCTTTTCTTGACTGATGGAGTAATATGTGAGGTTGGAGCATTATATTTAACATTGACAGGAGGTTCTGGTTTCTTAGCTGTATTGCTAGATGAACTGAAGAGCCTGCTAAAACTAGAACAAGAAAAAAAAGGTAGATGATAGGATTTGTAAGATACATCTAAATTTGACTATGCAGGCAAAACACTGCATATGCTAGCCTGCTTAAGCCAGTTAGACTGAGGAACTGGAGCCCAATAACCACCTCACACTCAGCAACACTCTCAAAGCACAGAAACTCATGTCAGTAAGAAAAATTCTCAAAGAATTATTATCCCATTTGTTTATAAAATTTAATGGGATCTTCGTCTTGAATGAAGATCTACAGGGAACCAACAAAATTAGGATGTTAACACCACACCTGGAAGACGGTGTTGTAAAGCGTATTAGTTCATGCACAGAGCACTTCAAAAATCTCACCATTTTCTAGGCTAAAAGGTAAAACAGTTATCAGCAAACCACAACACCAAAGGATTATTTGGCAAATATCCTGTTGTGAATAACATTTTAGATTTTAAAAGCTGGAAGTTAGAAAGGAAAATTTAACAATCAGTAAGCAGTACTTCATAAAGGAAAAGGAAGCTGAAATAAATGCAATCTACAGGAGCTATTCAGGTTTCTGCTTTTCGTCGTAAAAAAGAACCCAGAAAAATGTTCAGAACAAGAGCCCTGATGCATATTCAGCTAGATAAAAATTACAGCACTTTGGCATTTAACTTCACAAAGTGCACAGCCATTCACTACGTGATGCAGCTTACGATACATTTTGTCTTCAAGAACAGGCTTACCGAGCTGGCATGCTAGGTAACAAGAGGAGAACAGTTAAGACATCTTTGTCTGCCAAAAGATAATTAGCTAACATACAAAAATATGCCAGCTAATTGATTAGGGTCTTTTATTTATTTTTGCCAGCGAGTTGTGTTTCAATACTTACAACTGCCAAATGCTTGATCTCTTCTTTTCTTGCATGGCTGGATTTTCTCTTGATGCTCTACAAGAAATGAATTCCAAGTTTACTGAGTAAGCATTAATTAAAAAAAAAAAAAAAGGAATGGAACAGAACAGTGTGTAACTCTTATTTAAAGAACCAGGATAACATATCGAAGGTATCAAAGCTTGTTTCTTCACACTGTCACTTCTTTTCCGATTGGAGCACAATATTGAAATTCTCACTAGGTGAACTGAAGTTACGTAATGATCATCCACATTTATTTGCATCACAAACACAACTGGCGAGTGCTTTTCAGACAGCAGAGACAGATCTGTGTAACACTTTGCAACGAAGACAGCTAGTAGAAAGCAGAAAACGGTTTAGAATTCTTTTGCCTCCTGTTTTTTGATATTTTAAACATTGCCTTTTATTTTAAAACCTCTTACTCCTCAACACATCAGTAAATAAATGATAAAGTGATTGTTCCTGAAGCCAGAGATTCATTAACAGAGATAGGAGAGTATTGCTACAGGAGACAATAGCTATAGAAAAGCAAGCCATGTCTGCTTGGGGATACATATTTTTCCTCTCTCAGACTCAGAGTTGAAATGGGTCACGAGTATTGAGGACAACTGACAAAATTAAATGCCACTATTACACCTGACCATCAGGCGGCACCAAATGACACCGTTACCCGCTGGACACAGACATGGCTCAGGGGGGTGCGACAAGAATGAGCTGGGCTGAGGTCCAAGGCTGAAGACTTTTGTTTTTAAAAATCACATCTTCCAAACAACGCAATATTCAGGATGCAGATTAGACCAAATCACCACCTTTATTGCTTACATTTAAGCAAACCTTGCAGGGTTTTAAAATTATGTCCTTCCTGAACGACCCAAGTCCTTACAAATGGATTACACTCAATCTGAAGACTGTATGTTGTTCCTGTTTTGACAGCTCAGCTGACAGCTGGGCCCACTGCTTTAAGGTATGTGCACACACACACACAGAGTAATTTTTTCTGCCCACCAAATTAAAGCTATTTACAATTACCAAGTTTTGTAACTGGTCCAAGATACACACTTTTCTTCAGGGCATGCTTATTTCACATCATATGAAGTACACGTCTTCACCGAGGTCTCACTAAGAACCCATTTTGAAAAGATAAGGTACATGTCCGTAACTTAAAAACAAAGTTATTCATGGGCATGTAGGGAGACAAGCAGAAGGGCAAGTAAGGCCTCATAACATAACCTACTGACCAGACCACTCGGCAGCTAAAAATCAAAAGCTTGTAAAATCCAAGGAGCTCTATCAAAGATTTTAAAAGAGCCTTTTACCTTATCATCTCAGTCCATCGGACAGCTTCCTGAAGCTCCATCAGCCTCTCTTTATACTGATTTCTTTCCATCAGAACACGGGCCATTTCAACACGAGTAAAACGCTTCCGCTGAGCGGTGGGGACATCACTCTGAACACACAAAAAAAGCAAACATGGGATGAACAAAGGAGCACAGTAGGGCCTTGCAGAGTCAGCCTCTGCCTTCTGATAAGAGTCAGTTTAGGGCACAGTTCTGGATTCCAAATTGTTTGGGTCTTTGTAAAAACTAACTCAATTCTACCCTCCTCTCCTCCCATCCTTTGTATGTAGTGTAATCTGAATAAAACCCTCCCAGTTCTTCAAAAAGAACGTGACATAGAATAATGGGCAGAGAGGAAAGAAAAAACTAAACATGGTCAGTTTAAGTTTACTTGTGCTCTTTAGATTTTTTTTTTCTGAAACATGGAGGAAGTTTACCATCACTTATTAAACAGTAAAGTTTAGTAGCACTCACTAAACCCATGTGAATTTCTAAAGTCCCATTGTGAATTATACATACAAAAATACACATACACACATAGACCTACATCATCATCCTCTTTAGCTTTCTGTCTTGCTTCCTCTGCTTCTGCACGAGCCCTAAATACAAAATAAAAAATAGCTGCATTAGATACCACAGCGGGGTTTTTTCTTTCTTCGTCACAACCATGGAATTAAACTTACTTTTTTAGCTCTTCTTCCAGTTCCTTATTCTTCTCTTCAAGCTTTTGTTTTGCTTGTTTTACAGCCTCTAATTCACCTTGTAGTACATCCTTCTCACAGGTCAATTCATCCACCTTTGCTATCAAATCATTCTTCACTACATTCAGTGCATTTCTACAGAAACATTTAAAATACACCATTATAAGGGTGACTAGGGTCTCATAGTTTAGCTTCAGCCCGATTTTATTCTTAAATCTGAAAACCTACAAATTTCTTACACAGAGCTGCTGTAAAAAGACACAGCTTTCTAAAACAGGTCAGCCCTCTCACCCCGAATCTCAAATGCTCAAAGACATTCACACGTCTGTATTAGAAAAAAGTACAGATAAATCAGAGCAGTTTGCTTAGAGGTTGAATTCCTCAGCAGTGCTCCTATGGATCAGCTTCTGCAGTTACAGCTGTGTTTCTAAGAGAAAAGGCAGGGAGTTGATCTCATCAGGACACTTTGCTTGTAGCCTTACAAGGATAAAAGCAGCTTTTGCTTCTTCGGTCCTTAATTTCTAGAATACCAACTAAGCTATATATTTAGCCAAATATACCTGCAAATTCAAAATACTTATACCACTACTACTCTTAGAACTGGAAGCACATTTGTATAATTTCAACTTTCTGTGTATTAAGATAGAGAAGATATAACAAAACAACAGAGAAGGTCAGTATTTTTTACATACACATTCTCACTTACTTTGTCTCCAACAGCTGAGTATTTTCCAAAATAAGGTTTTCAACCTCACGACCCATTCCTTTCCAAAGGAAACAAACACATGAAATTAGCAGATAAAATGGATGTTTTTACAAAACCTACGTTTTGCCATTGTCTAAGAACAGTTGAGTTGTAAGTATGACAAACTTGTTAGAAAAACTGAGCTGTCTGAAGTTTCAGGACCTACCTTCTACAATTAGCTTTCCCCTCCACCTTCTTCCCAGTCTGCCTTCAGTTAATGCCTAAAGGCAATCCTGACTAACCACAGGCTAGTCTGTACATTTTCAAGAGGTTACATTACTACTAAGTCAAGAGCCAAACATGGCATCCCTGGGAAAGTATTAGTCCATAAAAAGTTTAAAATGCTTGACTGTCTTTTATACCGTGTTAGATACAAAAGTGTATCAGTTACACATACAAGACATGCTGAATTATAAAGCTCAGATTGCAAAAGCCCTGCAGATCTCCCCAGAGCAAATGATACCTTACCAAAGAAATTATGGTCTTTAAAGCCCATGCATTCCATGTAAAGCAAAAACAAGAACAAGAAAACATTTCATGTAAGGTGCAGTATGAGTGAAGGGCAATAAAATATTTAGACTTACGAAATAAACAGTGAATTAAAACAAAGCCACCACCAAAAATTTGAAATGGAATGTGATGTGGTTACAAGCAGGATTTATACGAAAGACAGGTGTTAAACTTGTCACAACCATTTCTATTGGTCAGACCTCTTATAAAAATCCGTAACTTAGTAAAAGTCTATATTAATTTCTGTGAAATATTTCAGAAGCACAGTACTTGGAAGAAATGCCGAGTCATTCAGTAAAAGTTTCAAATGAATATGCCACTATGAAAAAAGTGAACTCCACTTTTCATGTAGCTACTTCAATATTATTTAAGTTTCTGGAAATTAATTTCTCACCCTATTATTCTGTTCTACTGTAGGCATGCAAGCAACCTGCATGGAGGCCTTTTAAAATACTCTATGAACACAATCTTCTAAGCAACTCTGGTAACAGAAGACTTAAAAGATGTTTGGATAACAATTAAAAAAACAGTACCTATAAATAGACATGCAAGACAAAGTTCCCTCTTTTGGAATTTCTCGGTTTTGGTAAATGACATTTAATAGTGAAGGAACTTTGATAAGCTATTGTTACTGCATCAACATCTGTAGAAATCCCCTACACTACAGTCATCGAGAGTTTTTTTTATGCAAATGGCTATTGCTTTTTAAATGTTTTCAGTATTCACAGAAAAAAGTACCTAGGATCACTTCTAACAGGTTTCAGGATCCTTTATAATGCAAGAACAAAAACTAGGAAGCCAAGAGTGCAAAGGCAAAAAAAAAGTTACCAAGCAGGGAAAAAATGCAGAGAATGTATTTTATGAGAGCAGCAGCCAAGAACGCCTAACTGTAGAAGCAACAGATTTCAAAGAATTTTTTTTAAAAAAGAAGCATACACACCAGAATATTCCCCTGGGTATGCAGCCCAAGAGAAAACAGATTAGAGAATCCCAATTAACTACTTTTACAGAACTCCAAACTCAGGTTTAATGCTTACTTAGAACAGATCCAAATGCTTGAAACACACTGACTATCCTGGAGGCAGATGTGGCTTTCAAGTAACAAAGAGTAATTTGGAGTATGGTTGTGCTCAAAGTGAAATGATGATTATAAAGTAAAACTTTTAGACCAACACATTCTGCATAACAAACGCAGTTACCACAACGCGTTCATTTTGCACACACTGGTGTTTCTAGCACTAGTTTTACAGAAAGCGTTTATGAAGTCCGTGACAAGCTTTTGATACATTATACTATATTATTTTGTCCATGGAAAACAAAGCATCTCTTATCAGGAAGTCCTGACAATAATTGGATTTCTTTAAACAATTTACCATACAGCAACTTCCATCCCTTAGCTACATGTTAATAGTTCTTCTCCAGTATCTGTATTTTGTGAATGCAGAATGTGCCATTAGTTGTCCCTGTGACAACACAGTGCGAGAGTTTTGGATGAAGTATGTTCCAGCGAGGATGTGGTAGTCCCCACTGCTCAGGATTCAAGGCAGCAGAGTGACAACAAAGAAAACCCATCTCTCAGACTGGAGATAGGCCCATTACTCCAAGCGAGTAATGCTTTGCAGAAATGTCACCTATTTGATGGAAAATAAGTTTCTGGTGGAACACTGAACAATCAGAAATCCAGATTGCACACACAACAGTTCTAACTAATACTGCTAACAATCTGTATTTCTGCCAGGTCAGACGACAAAAGCAAACAGACTGCTGATTTTCTATATACAACCCACTTCTAAAACGCACAAGAGTTGCATCTGCATTTTATATATTCCATAGTACCAGCTTTCATTATTTCAAAATGAAGCCTGAACTGATATGGCCACAAATACATGTTGTTTATAGAAAGATCCTTCTTTTAACAACCTTTTTGCTCCTGATTAACTTATATTCCCAAAACCTACTTTTTTTTCATTCAGCACACTAGTAGCAACAAGCTGCTTAGGGGAGGGGAAGAGAAATGTGGGTTCCCCCTCCCCTTTCAATTAATGGTTTGATTCTCAAATTACCACCATTGCATTCTGCTGCAATTCTCTCTTCCAAGTTAAATTCCACAGAGAGGGGATAAAGCCGGCCATTACAGATTGAGCCCAATCTGAACTGAGCTACCTAAAACTAGTTCAAGATAAAAATTCTTGCTCGATATAAAAATCCTTGTGTCAGAGAACATATAGTGAGAACTGAAATAGAGAATAGTGTAAGAAGTGCCCCAAAAGATTAAAGCTGATATCATTATATCGACAGAAAGAACAAACACTTTCTCTTGTTTTTTTGCATTCCAATGACTGCCTTAGGATGATCCTCAAAAGATTTTAATGCAAAGAAATCCTAACAGTAAATCCAGCAAGGATAATTAAGCATTCCACTAACAAGGAGAATTCCTCTAAAGGGCATCTTTAAATAACCTTTCTTACCCAGTAAATCTGCACCTTCATCCACATCTCCAATTAGGCCAGAACCAGCAGATGACAGCTCTTCAAAGAGTGACTCTGTATTACGGTCAAACGCTTTGTTCTCTATGCCTTTGGTAGGAGTGCTATTCAAAAAATAAAAGCAAGACATAAAAAAGGCAGAAAGAAAACATTCCCACAGCAAAGTAAGTTTTCTCTGTTTTTACCAGTAGTTCATTCTGTTACCCCCAAAAAACCCAGAAGTAAGATTCTCAGAATCTTTCAGATGGCTTAGAGTCCTAGATTCTATTTTCAAACACTACTTTGGCATCAAGATTCCAAACTTGAGGTAGCCGCTGATATTGAGCTGGTCAGCATTTTAATAAATTAAAGCATATCAAGTTTTGGCATATAGAGATTCAGCCCTATCGGGACTTAGTCAGCCCAAATGCCTAAAGAACGACAGCTCAGCCAAACTGGAAGTCATTTAATATAACGAGAATGCAAGAGAACCGAATAGTCAGAGATCAAAATACTCTTCTGGCCAGAACAAAGGCTCCTTTCACAGAAAGATCTTACACCATTAACATTCACTATTTAAGGTAGTTTTTTCCATCTCATCACAAGAATGAAACACAGACACATAACATATTTGAAGGACTTGTGGCTAGACCCTAAATTGTTCAGGGCTTGCCTAAAAGATCAGGGACACCCACTACTACTAAAACACCATTTGCTTATTTTATATAGGGCTTTAGAGTTTTTGACAGAAATGTTAACCTCCACAAGCAAAAACCTGCAAGGAAGCCGACTCTGGCAAAACCATTCTGCCAACACTGGGATTCCACCCATCAGAATCGGATAGATAAATGCTGTAACATTTGCAACGTCGGTTATAAGTCCAGATTTTAAAGACATGGGTGAAAACACAAGGGCCCAGCTTGGAAAATGCTAGTACCTTGAAACCCAGACCTAGGGAGAAAAGGCCTCTTGTATAGATCCTTTGCTTGAAATATGGAAAGAATATTTAAGCCTTCTTAAGTCTGTTGTAATATGAAGTACCCTGAACATTCATCAGTTGTAGCAACAGAACGAAGAAGTGCTGTTGTACTTAAAACCTCCTGAGGAATTTGGGGAAGTAAGGTAACAGAAGTAGGAAATTTATCACATAATGCATGAACTCAGTCTGGTGAGATTTCTAAACAAGTCACAAGTTCAAAATCGGTCTTCCTACTCAAATCAAACACACTATTTACCTGGAACCCTTATATCCACTGAGATCTTTATCCATATCCAACTCTGGAGTTGACTCAATGATTGCCTGAACTTCAGATTTTTCTTCATTTTCATTTCCACCTAGGGAAAAGGCAGTGGTACATCTCCATAAACAAAATCACTGTGACACATGACATTACCTCCATGCAGTTGTTCTTAATCAATCATCAACTCAGACTTCTGTTCAAAAACTTATCAAGGCAATTAAATGAGAAGACCTATGAATTTTGATACTCTAGTGCAGACACTGGAATATTCCAAGTAACTCTCTCCTGAATTTAACTTAAGTCATCCAAGATTAGCTATTCCCCAGTACTTCTACTTCTCCAAGTGGATGTCTATCTCATCTCATGACTTTTCCTGTCTAGATGAATACCTTTTCTGCTGCTTACAAGGAAGTGTCAAATAATTCCAATTCTAGAAAAATAACGACTAAAGCCACTTATAAACAACCGACTTATATCTCTAACCAATATTCTGTATTCCTGAAAATATTGAGTCAAAAAACATTTCTCATTTGTGGCACAATTAAAGAAAGTTCATAACGGATTAAATATGAGGTCCATAGTAAGCATATACTAAAGAGTTAAAGCAGCTCACCAGTAGACACATTTCTTGTCTCTTGTGCTACCTGTACTTCAATGTTCTTGCTTACGTCCACCTTCTCATTCAGCATGTCTGTTCCCTTTGCAAGTCCTTCAACATCTTCCTTTTGAGGAGTTTCAGCAGGCAGTACAGGCACATCTGAAGCAGCTGTGGATGCTGGAGTAGTAGCTTTTGAGCCTGCTTGGCTAACATCAGAGAGCTCATCCTAACATTGAACATTACCGTTAAAAAATGAACAAGAATTAAAGTATTATTAGAAGAGTTAGGCATCTAAACTAGAGAACAAACACCAAAATTACTGTGTTTTACTGAAGAATATGCAAACGCAAATAAGCGGGAATGGAAAGGATACTTTAAGCCAGTACTACCAAATTAATCTTTAGATTACAGCTATGGTTTCACTTCTATTAAGGAGGTCATAGCTACATAAAACATGCCCTTATTTTTAATACTAATGTTTGATCTCAGTTGATTATTATAGTCACAAGTTTAGGGTGCTTTTCTGCTAAGTCTTCTAACAATAGGCAGCATTCCCACACTGATAATCCTTCTAGCTGCACAATGAACCGCTGAATCTTCCCAAACCGGTTATAAAATGTTTAGTTGTTCAAAATATGCATGATATCTTAAAACACCTTCTTAAAAAGTAGACATTGAAGCACTGATGCAGTACATGATTTTAACTGATCTAGAAGTACAGTATTTGCAAGCACTTCACCCAAACTGTTCTTACACGCCTTCCAGTCTGCGCTGTAAGCCCCGGATAACACTGGGAACGAGACACTAAACCGCAGCGACTACTCATCTGCTTAGATTTCAGATCAACTACAGAACATCAGTAAATAGCTCCTTCTTAGAAGCCAATTCCTGGCAACAGTTTACACTACATTGAGATTGTATCAGGAACCACAAGCATGGCTATGAACTCAGCTGCTGCAATCAAGATGATGGTCATTACTGGGACAGGGCTGCATCAGGCACTGTGTTCGAGGGCAGCCTAGACTGCGTTTGATGTAACTAGAGGCTACTACCTGGAAACAGTAATAGCCTTTTTCTGGACCCGTCGTCTTTGGTTCACATTGCTCCCCTCATTCACGACCAGAGCCATACCAGTATCCCGACATCGTAACTATGACTTCAGCAGCACGTAACAGTGAAGAGCTCACTGCAGATATGAAAACAATTTGGTCTGTTTAGGCCAGTATTTTCTAGTGTACAGCATTAGAGGAATCTCCTTGGCAAAACTCAAGATGAAGCACCAAGGCTTGTGTGGGCAAAATGAAGGCAGAATGGTTACGTTTTGATAAAAAGTTCTTTTAGGGTTTTGTTTGGGAATCGGAGGTGAATGCAAAGCCCATAGACAAGTCTGTGACATTTAAAGAGGACATATCTATTGGCTCAGGAAGCCTAAACTTGTCAACAATGAAGCAAGTTTAGATTTTGTGAAGCATCAATTCATTGTACTGCTAGCATCCCCTTTTTGAAAGGGAAGTGAAACTGAATTTTAACGTTACTTAAAAAAAAAAATAGGAGATACTTGCATATAGACATGCATTCTCCCATTTGTACCTAGTGGAAGATTAGTAAGAATTGTAATTTCTAAATTTTTACTTTGGAACTTCTTGGCAAGATAAGATTTTAATTTGTGGGGCCAGGGAGGAAAATACACATTTATGTGTATCAGTGTAAGTGAAAAGCTTGCATGCTATAGTGACATCCCCACATAGAATTTGTAAGCCTTAGAAACAAAATTCAGCACTTTCAAGACCTGCCTATCAATTACTAAGACAGAATGAAAACTGGAAGTAAATTCCAAAATAAACCAATAATTAGTATTTGATATTCTGACAAAATTATTCAGAAACAGTCAACTAACAAATACCACTAAAGGAAAAACACACATACACTTACCCATAGTAATACAAGGCAACAAAACTGACATATTAACATTTTACATCCATTAAAAAAAAAGCTACACAATTTAGCCAACTGCTTTTTGAACTGGTGAAGTTCAGCTGCTGGATAATGATTTATACTTCAGCAAGCAGATAAAGAAGGAAGTGGTACCCCTTACCAAGGGAATCCAGAGTTCACACAAACTGTGAATAAAACCACAACAGAGCTGTTGGCTCTGTTCAAACACGTCTACATCTTTGTATTCTAAAAGCATCCACTAACTGATGCAGCACAGACCGATCACCGACTTTCACACACAAAGCTCAAGAAAAATTGCGTGATAGTGCAAAAGAAAATAGTAGAGAATGATCCTTTCCTTAAGAGAATTCCAAATAATCTATTTTACAATTCTGACTTTTATTATCTACTGTATTTTTTTAGCTAACTCTTGAAAATTATACCGATTAGACTATAATGAATGTTTGGTCTAGAATTAATGAAAATGAAATGCAATTCCATTAAGTGACAATGAATTAATCAAAATATCTCAAAGCTAAGCATTTGACAGTCAATGCTGGGTTGACTTAGCAAATCTGACTTTTTTGGCAATGCTGCCCAAAGACTTTTCCTGAAAAAAAGAAAAATTAGTTAAAAATTCAAAAACTGAATCTGAAGAAGCAGTAGCTCATCTGCAATGCTTTGCAGAAATAAGCAGAAGAGAATGAATAGTACATAATTGTATGTTGTCTTACAATGGCACCCAGCAATGTCAGTACTGTACAAGCTATAGGGTAACCCAGTCTTTTTTGTCTGAGTTTCTCCCCGACACCTACTCTTTGTGATACTTTTAAAGAAAACACTATTAATGAAATGTTCACGCATGAGTGGAAAACAGATGCCTTACAGCAGCAGAATCTTGCCTTTGCCTTGTACTTGATGTTAGAAGTATTTAGAGGAGTAAAAGTATTAGAGAAGAGTGTTTCAAATTCTGGTTATGACTTCAACATATCACGTTATTCAATGGGTTCACTTCAGAAGTACTTTACATTCACAGCTAAAAAGCAAAGATGATGTTTTAGACCCAAGGGACTTGTTCTGACTAACTAGGTTTGAAAAATTAATCCATGCTGTTTTGTAAATTCTCTTTTAGCAGTGCATTATTTTTAGAAGAACTATACCAAGAAGCCCATTTTGACAATGTATAGTAATGAATATAATTTTCTGAGGGGACAGGATGGGATCAGAGACTTCCCTTTATACCCCATCTCCAACTACCCTTACTCATAACTTAAGTTGTATTTCAGAGAGCTCTCCTAAAGTCTGTCCAATTATTGATGTTAATTGGGTTAGGAAAAAGGGAATAGGACAAATTTACGATCCAAAAATGGTCCTAGCCAAGAGTTTAAGTGACAAATTTTTAGATCCAAACTCCTGTTGTCACTTTGGTATGTTTATAATTAACCATTACTTGCACTTCCCATTATCTCCATATGACCTCTAGGAAAAAAAGAAAAAAAAAAGAAAAACCCCCACAAAACAAAACAATCTGTGTTCCAATTATTTCTGGATAGCTTTTTAATTCTTATCACTTTAATATTCCCCTGCTAGGTATTAAGTTCAGTTCGGAGGAAATTCCCCTCAACTGTATGCCTTTTCCAAAATAACAGTGCATCCATAGTCTTCAAAAAAACCTCATCAACATAAAGATATAGGGAGGCTTTACACATTCTGGAGTTCTTCACCCTGCAGATCCCTCCTCCCACTGTGTTGTTAGTGCACCAGAGTCCCGACTGCCAGATTCAGCACACTCCAACACCACTCCCCCATTTTTCCATTTCTGCAGCTTGTTCTATGCCACCCTCTCACTGCTGGAACACAGAACAATTGCAGGAATTATAGCCAAGCTACATGTAAGGGAAATCATACTCACAGGCTAATTTAGGAAAGTTAGGTCATTCTCAACTCTGTGGTATACCTACGCTACGCGCCTGATAGTAGGCAGAGGCTGCGTTAAGAGTACTGCCTGTGTAGTAACCACAGCATTCCTTCTAAAGCAATATTAAACCATCAGACCTGTTTACACTAGTTGCATATCTAGTGTGTAAAGAACAAGTGACTGACCTTTGGAAAGGGTCCTTAGTCAGAAAGAACGAACCCACTCCTGTGAGTAAGAGGAGAACTAGCCTGTACTACCACTCATTCGGAAAACGCAACCCAAACTTCCTTTCTTCCAATAAATAAGATCCCTCAAAGCTCATTTGAGTAAGCAACACACTTGGCTTACATAAATACAATTTAAGGGTTTCCCTCCTCCCCTTCAATTTACTTTTTCTCCCCACCAAGGATCTCTTATCTGTTTATGGGAGTTCCTCCCACCACACTAGGCAGCCAAGCTGCGCGCTCACCTTCAGGCTTGTGTGGGACCGTGGCTGGCTTAGCTCATGGAATTTCCAGTGCTCTGACCCAGGCGTTTCCCCCGCTTCTCTCTGCGTTTCGGGCGTAAGTAGTGCATCTCCTGGAGGTAATGGGAAGATGCCCAGTGATATCGGACGCTCCTTTCTGCTTGAAAGAGAGACAGGTTTCATCAGCCTTTTCAGACATCACACAATATATTTTCCTGGATGCTTCTGAAATCAGCAGGGAAGTGGTAAAATTATAGGTTCAAACATTCATACGCTACTCTCTATTAAATATACAATGCAGCATACACAGTTTGTATCACAGCACATAATTCCTCATTTCACATTAATTGCAAATAGTCTATTCCATGGCTTTAAGCAGCAGTTATTGATTGCACCAAAGCTAACCTATAGTAAACAAGTTTTACAGAAGTGGAGCACAAACAGGAGTATGAGATGAAAATGGTTCCTTATTTTAGACTAAATTACAGTCTTCAGCAAATACTCTTAAAAATACCATATTGCACTTTTTTTTTTGCAAGATACAGCACCACGTAACTTCTACAAACGGCCAACAGCTAAATCATTAACTGCAGCATTTGGGAAAGTTGTAAACAATCAGCTTAAAGACTAACTCCTTGCAAAATTTATGATATTTTTCTTCTGAAGATCACAGGCATTACATGGATTTATATAACTCAAAAAAAAATGGGTCCAGGAATTACCGATGTTAAAACTAGCCCAGCCAAACATTGCATAGTTTTGACCAAAATCAGTTCAACACTCTACTTCGCCCTAAAGCTGCACAAAAGCTTGTGCCAGTAAGGCAAATTATTGCATTCCCACTCCTCACCATCTCTGCTACCTTTATCACTTCCCTATGGCAAATTCCAAAGCTTCGTATATTGACCCTCAGGGGAAAAAAAAAAAAAATCCAAGTCAATCTTGCTGTCAGGGAACAAAAAGATTAATTATTCCCGCTAGCAAGAGACAAAAACATTGCGCAGAATGCAATTCATAGGATGCTACAGCCAGCCCTGAAAAGGAAAAGTATCAGCCAGGCACAGAATGGAGATAAAACGAAGTATTTGTTCAGTCAGAACAATCAAATACAAAAAAAAAAGACTGTAATCAACTAGCACAACTTTAAGTATACTAAAGACAGATGACAAAAATGTGCACAGGTGATGGCAGAAAATTACGCTTCTTGAGAGAAAGCATCGCCCGCAAGTACCCCTGCAGAGACAATCCAGACTAAATACTAAGATTTGAGAGATCTCGTATTTTAGCACTAGAAAAAGTCAATTCACAACTATATATACTTTCTTTTGCAAGGCTTTTCACACATTAAAGACAACCTAGGCAGAATTCTATGCAGAATTAGTACGTGCAGAAGAAGAGGTAGTCAAGAAGGGATTAGATTTAGCGATTAAGCAGTAAACTTGTTTCGGTAAATTTTACATTGCCAGAAAACTCACGTTCAAGCAATTTATTTGGCATAAACCTTTCCAGTACAGGTGTACAAGAGATGTTCCTTGTCACAAAAATCTTTGCGACTAGTTCTCACATTGCATGTATTATGGTCTTTCATAAATATTATTCCAAGTTCGGTTGTTAATCTGGAAATAGTTTAGCAGAGCAAAGTCGGCATCAAAGCTAGTAAAGCAAAATCAGTCAGGGTTACAAAATAAAAAGCATCAGATACTGTCCCAGCATCTGCAAACTAACTGTGCTGAAAAGTCTCCACGAAAAATAGCCACAAAACTAAACAGAATTTGATTCCAACGATTCCCGCTATTGTAACAGGTTCTGCTTTTCTTTAGATTTCCCACAACTCTAAAGCGTGCGGGAACAAAAGACACGCCACATAATCTGAGCTTACGTTAAAGGACAGACTGAAACCGTTTCATTGGTTAAGTAGTACAGCAACAAAAAAAGGAAGAAAAGCTGCCCTTCAGCGGAGAAGAAAGCCGGTGAGAAAGCATGCCTTGTGAGGGGCCCGTCGCTTTGGAAAACGCCTCCCGGAGCAATGGCTCAGAGCAGACAGGCTGGCTTGCTTACAGGATATGCCGCAAAGCTTAATCTTCTTTGCAGTCTTCGGAAGAGAGAATTTAAACAAAATGGGTACCAGAAAGTTCACAACTGACATCAGCTTTTTCTTTTTGCGGAGTAGCTCATTATGAACCCATTTTGATGCACTAAAACACAGTCTGGGTGCATTGCAAGACTAAAGGGTAAAGGAAGGTTGAAAAGGGGGCTTATTTTGGAAATGAAGGCTATTATATGCATGTCTGCATGAAAAGAAATTATCTGATTAGACTGAAGCAATTTCAACTTATTTCACTGGTTGTTGACCGGAAAGCAAAGAATCCCTTCTACTCCTCCAATGTCCAAGAAATATCTGAAAATACGACAGTGAGCAGAAGGCAGGCACGTGTTTTAAAAGCCTAAACTAATATTCTGAAGTGATGTATTGAAGCATTTACAGGAACCCTTAGGATAAGCAACCAGATGCTCTGTTCTGAAATCCGACTAGTGTTAAAAAAAATAGAAAGAACTCTTCCACAATTAGATTCTGTCATCCTATATTTTATCTTTTTCAAAATTAATAAAAGATAAAGGAACCAAGTTCCAATTCCTGTAATTCCTAAACCAACAAATTACTAAGGGCAAGAAAAAGCATAGCTTCACAAAGCCCCTCAAATCCTTTAAATGGACTCCAGGGAAGCAAGAGCACATTACAAAAAACCCTATTTCTTAAACCACCTGATTGCTTAATTATAAAAGGTCTAATAAAAGTTATTGAACATGAAGTTCAATATTGTGCTTTGTTTTTTGTGGTTTTTTTTTTTTTGGTGGGTTTTTTTTGTTTTGTTTTGCATTTTTTGTTATTTGATTTGGGTTTGATTTTCCCTCCCTTTTAAACAAGGGCAGCCTTACTAACTAGATCAGCCTATAGAGAGTTACACTTTAAATATAAAACAATAAAATAAATTTAAGTACTCATGCAGATATATTTATCATCATTGCTGTTAACAATTGGTATTTCTTTTACCTATCGATTGGCTTTAAACCTTTGGAACAACCCTTCTGTGCTCAGAGAAGTAAGTTAAAAACACCCTACCGTACAAAGTCAACATGCACCATGTATTAAGGAGAAAGTCACACGCCTCTTTCAGAGAACACTATTTCCAGCATTCTTACCTCTTTAAATAAAGTTTACTATTCAATTTACAACCACAGTTAAAGTATGTCAAGTTTTCGGGTCAGAAAGCTACATTTTAAAACTTTTTCAACTGTTTTCCATTTGCAGTTATAGCACTAAGACGTGTCAAGATTACTTTTGGTCACAATATTCTAATGCATCTCTGCTACTGCTCCAGGCAAGTAGGACAAACGGAACGTAACTTGAGGGGGGACAGACAGAGTTGGCAGCTTGCCATGCAAGTACAGAAAAAGAGGAGAGGATAACATTTGGCTGAACAATAGTGAATAGGCTTTAAGAGCTCTAATGCTTAAATAATGAAAGATTCCACCCCCCCCCAACCAATAATCAGATTTATTTTTAAAATAATTTGGTCAACTAATTACTGTTGTTTTGAGCAGAAGGCCAATTAACTGTTCTTATATAATTATTTTGATTCAAAAATAGTGAAATTTAACAGTACAAAGCCTCCGACTGCATACATTTACGGCTATACAACATCAGCCAAGTACCTGACAATACCCTGAATGTCAGCTTTATGCACGACATTATCATCACAGCTTTTTTTGCAGGTTACAATAAACCAATGTAATAGCTTTCTTAAAAAAATACATAAACTGACCATGTAGTTGCTTAAATAACGGGCAATGAAATTGAGTGCATAAAGAAATATATTGCCACATCCCCCCCCATAAATGTTACGTTTACAAAAGAATTCGAGATCCATACATAATTTACATCTGTAATTTACCCTTGCTCTTTCTGTTTGAAAGGAAAAGGGAAAGCAGAAAAAAAAGAGCACATGAAGCCAAGGTTCAGTAGGTCAGAGTACCTGAGTATCCTTGGTAGGTTCTGCGTCAGAGCTGGCACACCAGTAGAAATAGAAAAGTGCATGAGCAGCAAAACAGAGAGAGATACCAAGATAGCCGAATTAATGACCACCGCCCCGCCAACGAAGCCAAACACAAATAGCAGCATGCATCCAGGATTCATGGCGCTGTGCTGGCATGGTGAAACGCCGGAACCAAGAAGGCTACACAGGGGCCGAGGGTGTATCTTTGTAGGCAAAGTCTGTCATTCAGCCGCTGCCACAAAAACAATGCCATCAGCAGCAGCTTTCCACTCTTCTGCAGCAGCTCCAGAGCAATGACATCACCGCTCTCCTCCCCCTCGCGCCGGGAGCCGCCGGGCTCCTCGCAGCATCTATGCAGCGACGCAGAGACACAGCCAGCCCTGGAGTTATCCTCCCCTCCTTCCACGCAGAGTTCATAGGCTAGAAAGCTTCAAAATCTGCATAATATATTCACGTCAAGCCCTTAGAATTAATGGGTACCACGATACGCACCTTCATCAACCCGTACACAAAGCCGTGGCAGGTATCAGTTATTTCGGGACAGCTGCTGACATTTTCCCTGCCTACCCGAATGCAAACACTCAAAAAAGCTGAAATTGTTTAAGGCTAATGCACAAAGTATATCTCAACGTTTAGCAGTACAACAGCAAAAGCCTCTTTCTACCGATTTCTACACTGTTCTCTTACCGCATTCCAATCATACAACAAATCTTTCCGATTCAGCCAAACCGTTGTTGGAGGATTAAAGAACAAAGTCTTGCAAACACAAATGAATGGATTTTTTTTCTTTCAGTTCAGGGTGAGAGCATAATAAATAGCTTACCTAATTCTACTGTGTGCTGTGGATTCTAGCTGATCTCCCCCTGTTAGCTGATGAAGTTTGGTTCTTTCCAAGTGCTCCATATAATTGTGAATCATCTGTTTAAAACGACAAGAGAAACAGCAAAAAATATTTAATACCATTTGCTTTTACTACAACTGCATAATTCTTGGCCAACAGAGTATAATCTTCCCCTGTAATGCTAAAAACAGTAAAAGCATTCAGAAACATTAAAGAATTAGATAAAGAAAGAAGCAAAATTATACAGTCTATAAAACCACAAACCAGAAGAGAAGCCCATAATAAATAATTAAAAAAAAAAAAATCAGGGAACTTACTTGTGCATTCGTACACAGGAAACATCCTAAGGGCGTACAAAGTGCATGTGACATTACAGAAAAGGGTTTTGACCAGAAGTGCCATGTTCAAATCCATTTCAGAGGCTGTTTAAGACTTCTGTGTCCAACAGATACTAAAATTTACTATATGACACACGATACATTTCACTATAACCTAACTGCAGAGGTCAGACAATATGCACCTCAAATGTTAAATATAATGAATCTACAAACTAAGAATCAGATGATTTCCATAGACAGAAATACGAAGTCAGCATCTCTTCTCTTTTTACTTCCAAATAAATTTAGCTTCACTTGTAGAGAATCCAGAAAGCTTTGGTTTTCAATTATCTAGACTAACATCTCATAAAAAGGACTGAGTGCCTGTGGATTTTTAGCACTCCAGAAGAGCTTTGCTTGCTCGCTCTCTTTCTTTTAAGAGAGGCAGCCACAGGCCAACATGCTGATTCCTGCAGTCATGACGTATTTAATGAACCCCAATTCCAATTGGCCAAAGGATGATGCTACCCAGATGTAACTGATCCGGGACGTGCATGGGGAGAAGTAACGGGTATCACTGTATCACTCCGTAAGGTTAGTTTGGACATACACCTTTGAAATGAAAACTAGGAAAGCCTGAAGAGAAGCCTACATGACATTTGGTATTCTTAGCATTTCTGCACTCAGGTTCACAGATGAACAGGCACTGGGAACAAAACAAAATAAAAGAAAGAACGAACTCATAGGTGTACTGCAGAAGAATTTAGTGTACTTTTTTCCTGAGACACATTCAGGTCACATCTCAAAGGCTTCTTCTAGAAAAAAATACCTGTTCTGTAAAACTAATTGCTTCTGCTATTCTAGAAAGGGTATGTGCACACTGCTAGAAGACTGTTATCAACAGGCATTTGTACAACCAATATTACATCACCTTTTACTTTGGGGGCAGTTACTTACAGTACGACTGAGTCCAGCAGGACCTGGAAACCCCCACCCACATGTTACTTTCAAGTCAGGGCTGATGTCAAGCCAAGGCCGGTAAGCTTGACCTTTGGATGCTACAAACTTCAGTTAATATCAGCTTCTCCACAAACACTGCTTGCCAGAATTAGCCGTATCTGAATATATATTCTTAGCCTAAGATTTTTTTGGTAGAGTGAACTGGCTTAAGATATCATGATTGATGGATATTCTATAAATCAGTAACTTATATGGTATATACTGGTTACGTACAGATCCTGGTTTTCTCAGCATTCACCTGAGCTAATTAATATATTTCAGAACAGAAAAAAAAAATCTGCCTATTTTTAGAGAAACATTATATAATATACTTCAACTGTTGTCAAAAGCTTACAAAATTTATTCTCCAGCAAAATGATACAAATGCAGTGTTTTACCAGGACCATCTAATTTGCTTTCTGAATTTAAATGCTTACTCATACACAGAAGCAATCAAAAGAATTGAAGGCTCTGCCTTTAACTATCCACATTTCTTGGCTTTTCTGCCTCCATCAAGCAACCAAAATTACATGTTCCAATGGTTCCTATGCGTAGCTTTACACAGGTTTATTATAATCCAAATTAATTTAGAAATTCCAGGAAAAACACAATGGGTAACCGTGAAATGCACATTAGACCATTCTGTATCCTGTCAGTGTATTCCCTCATCACGCGAGGGAGATAGTACTGAACAAAAGCTGTCCTACCTGCAATTTGCAGCACACCAATTGGCTTCTCAAAGTAAAACTGTAAACAGAACACCTGGGGTGCTTTTTAGCTACTAAACAGTAGCTGAGTAACAAGTACCTTTCCAGAGAACAACTAACACACGGGGGGAAAAAAGAGAACAGGGTCAGTAAAACTTTCACATTTTGCAAAGTACATGATTTATCCTACTTTCTTCCCTCCACTTAGTCTATTCTTTTGTTTTCTGAAATGTCTCACCATATTAATTAACCACATACAGAGGCTAGAGGGCGGGTCAATTTAAAGGACTATGTAGTTTAGTACCATTCCACAGATGAAAATGATGCTGATGGTAAGACAAGCAAATCTGTAGGTCTTCAGCATAAAGTACGTAAGCTATAGCAACACTAAAATAAGATGAAAAACAAAGTGTGTGCGTCATGTGCGGTGCAACATGGCAATTCCTCCACAGATCCAAGCTATACATGCCTGTGGTGTCGCAAAAAATCAGAAAAACAGTACTACCACCATGTAAAGTCCACACAGTGCCTTGATCCAGGATCCCAAGAATAAAAGTTGACAATACTGAAAAATTGTCCACAAGGAGAAAAGTGTCTCACCCTCCCTCTGTCCCCAGGGGACAGGGCAACTACACAGCTGGTGCTGTAGAGTCATGGTGCACAGATTCTCAACTGCCAGAAATCAGTTAATCAAAGGTTGAAATAAATTAAATACCATAGCTTATTGTGAAGTTAGCTCACTGTAACTGCTCAACTACAATAAAAGTTTGAGGAGTCCCTCCAAAACCACTGGGGCTTGAAGCAGATGACCTCCAGAGATATTTTCGATCTAAATGACTCTAGGTCTCAGCATAGCCTTGAAGTACCATACTGATAAAAAAAGCCTAACAAATTAACACACTAGAATTCTCAGTGCTCAAAATCTGATCAAAAGTTTTGCTATGTTTTGAGATTACTCAGCTATCCAAAGAAAAAAGTGTTCATATTGCTGACAATTTTAAAATAGACTTAAATGGATTCAATCACTCTCTACTCAGCACAATTCTTACCGAATTTAGTCTAAAGGACAGACGATAAAGGACTACATCTACTAACCTTCTCCTCAATAGAAGTTGCAGTCAATATTTAATCGTCCATAACCTTTTACTACTCACAGCTCACCTTGCTGCCCCTGAAGTCCACAAATATTTTGGATCTGATCAATTGTGTCAAAGAAGACATCATAAATACAGACCACCTCAGCACTGTTGTGATTAAATACATTGCTCAATTAGCATTAGCTGAGGGGATTAAAGATAAACTCAGAACTTGGAAGAACTACCTTATGTAGTTAACAGCACCTCACAATTCATGTGCAAGCCCATTTTAGGGCACAACGTGTAAAAACTGACTATAATGAGCTTTTACAGACATTACAAGATGATTATGAAAGTCATTCCTTGTGAATGCAAGTGACAGCAATGCAATGTCTTTCCATCTCAAAAAAATACTCAGATTGGTTTCCTCATGCGGCATGTGACAAGTTCTGTAACTGTACAAAGTGCTACAGGTTTTTCTATATGTTGAGCTTCAGCCTTCAGTGAAAGACAATGAACATCCTGGCAGTAGCGTCTATTCCTGCCCTTACAAATATGACTGCTCCCAACATACACAAGCCTGATCCTTTCTTTGTCACAAACAAATGTGTATATGCCATGCTGTGGTTACTGTACCTGCACCTTTTCCTTAACCAGGTTGCGAGCATACCCCTTATACCTTCCTTTCTCTTTCACTCCTTCCTTTTTGTGTCAATGCTTTAACTCCTCCAGGACAGGTTTTAGTAATTCCTTCGCTGTCAGACCAGGCTCTGGGCCACAGCCCTCGCTGTTCATCCTGCAGATTCCTCCCTTTGGGAATGTGTGACCAACTGTGTCTATATAGATCTTTCCATGTCCCACATAATCTAGATTTATTAAGGTAACCGACATTTCCAGAATCTCCTTGATTCAGTACAAAAGACCTAAACGTACTTCCATGTAACTACCTTTTACCTCTAAGGATTCATGGTGAGCTTGTCACCTAAGTAAAAGCATCATTCCCCCTGGTGAGCTCGATGCATCTTTATCCACATATAAGATTACGTTGCTTGCAGATACAATAGAACATAAAGATGTTAAATCTAGGCTTTATACATCAAGCTGTTAATGCTCAGCACAAGGATTTAGAAAGAACAGATAGCTAGTCACAAAAACACTACGACTGGTACCCTGCTTAGCCACAACTGTAACCAGACATCTCCACTTGGCCTTCTCTTCCTGCCTCCCTGTGCAGGGACTAGCTGGGGATATCTGTTTATCCAAATGAACCTGACAAAGTACATTCCCAATGCCAGAGAGGCTCACTGTTCTGTCACATCGTATCAGCGCAAAACACTGAGAAACTTCCATGGCCCAATTATGCTTCATTAAACTAAGCCCATACTCTGTGTGTCAGGGAAA